TTTTGAAGTGGATCTTGATGAATTATGGGCTGATGGGCAGAAAGTCAAGGTAGAGAGTGATGTAATCATGTATTCACCAGCAAGTGTATGTCCCCTAGAGTATACTTATGACCTTAGTTTCTGGGAGACCCAAGAGAGTCTGACAAATATTGCAAACATGCCAAGATCCATACATGATGAATTTGATCCATGTAGAGTAGAGATCATCATCAACAACATAGCTCAAGAGAGTTTAGTGAGTTATACACTTTTAAGCACTTATAATGATCCAGACACCTCTAGAAAGAGTTACACATACAGAATAAAGTACAGGTGTTTTTCATATGCATTATCAGATACACTGGCTAAGGCAATTCATTGTGAAATAGGAAAGAAACTAGAACAGTTGATGGGAGTGGAGGTTCGGTAACAGAGGTCAAATTCTTGTGGGGGAATATTTGAAATGTTTTATTGGTTTATGACTTCATTGTAAATATAAAAAAATTATAAGATAATTACATCCTACAGTTGTTTCTATTTATTTATGTTGTTTTAAAATGATATTGAAGTTTTTATACACATTTTATTGATTACATAAGTAAAAGTCATAATATGTTAGGTTGAAATGTTGATAAAACTAGCATGAAATTTGAAATATATTTTAATGCAATATTTGGAAATATTTAATTACCCTGAAGTGAAAGACCTTTATATACTATGATATTATTCTTGTTTTTTAAAATTTATATGATACAGTAAAATACTGAATATGGTAGGTCTGTTTTTAATGTTTTAATTTGTGTGTGTGTGTGTGTGTGTGTGTGTGTGTGTGTGTGTGTGTGTGTGTCTGTGTCTGTGTCTGTGTGTATAATTTATATATGTCTTTGTAGTAAAAATGTTTGTCTTTTCCATCTTCCAGCTATCATTCGGTATCCATAATTTCCTTTTTTTTACAGATTTTTGGAAGGAAACATATCCATTAAGAAGTTTTTGGAATGGCATCAGTGGCCCTGCATTGCGTCCTTCCTGGAAAACCTTTGAGCTGGACACGTCTCCGGGAAGTGCACAGTCTGGTGAAGCAGCAGATCAGGTCCTGCTCTTCAATTAATCACACGAAGCCAGTCGATCCCTCGCCTATTAGTACAGCTGCAAGTCCCAGGGAAGAAGATGGATTGTCAGCTCGTGGGGACAAAGAGTGGAAAGTCTTAGCTCAAGATTTTTTAAGGAAGTTGAGCGAACAGCCACATGTTGGTCTGGAGGACAAGTATGTACCACTAAAGAGCAGTAAGAGCAAGTCAAATGCAACAAAGGTGAGTTTGTGTTGAGGATTTTTCTTTTTATGAAAAGAAAAAAAAAAAAAAAAAAAAAAAAAAAAAAATATATATATATATATATATATATATATATATATATATATATATATATATATATATATATATATATATATATATATATATGTGTGTGTGTGTGTGTGTGTGTGTGTGTGTGTGTGTGTGTGTCTGTCTGTCTCTCTGCATTTGTCTTTGTGTCAGTATGTCATTTTGTGTATATTCCTTTTTGAATTGATGTATGTGTCTGGCACATGAAACATTTTCTGGAAGACTTTTCTACACTTAAATATTTATATCTGGAAGACCAAATTTCTTCATATCCTTATCTTTAGCTTAAGCCTTTTACTGTCCACTCTTGTTCCTCTTTAAACAAATTGTAAATTTAACTGTGTTAAAATTACAATTTTAAAGTTACAATTGTAAAGTATAATTATGTCAGCATGCCTTTATTCTTTCCTCCAGTGGTGTAAATGATTTTCTTCAGTCTTTCTTTATAACTCCTTGTGGGTGCTCTTCAAACTTGTTACAATTGATCTATATCCTTTAAATAAGGCCTCTGTACCGCAGCAGGTGATAAAGATGATTGTCTTTATCATATCTTCAGAAGTGTGTGTGTGGATGTATGGATATACTTGTGTGTGTATGTGAACGTGTGAATGTATGATATAATTGTGTCTCTAATGAAAAATTTTAATAATATGAATTACATACACTGAATGATATACAATATTCTTAATAACACTACCATGGCTCAGTATGATTAAGGGTGGAACTACCAGTGCCCCAAATACCCTAAACAGGGGACTCCTGGGTATAAAAATGGACCAATTTGTATATAGTATTCTTTGCACCCTGCAGCCCTTACTCTCTCTCTCTCTCTCTCTCTCTCTCTCTCTCTCTCTCTCTCTCTCTCTCTCTCTCTCTCTCTCTCTCTCTCTCTCTCTCTCTTTTTTTTTTTTTTTTTTTTTTTTTTTTTTTTTTTAATTTGATTTGATTTGATTTGTTGATGTTCTGCAGGTTCATCATTTTGTGGATTTCCGCCGTGTGCGAGTCCTAGGCGGGAATGGAGGAGACGGCTGTATATCTCTCCTGAGTGTGTACAAGAAAGAACGTGCGGGGCCAGATGGAGGCGACGGGGGAAATGGAGGACACGTTATTTTCAAGGTTAGATGGAAAGCTCTGTTCTCTTT